CTAGGGATGGTGCCACCCACAGTGGGCTATGTCCTCCCATATCAATCATCAATCAATACAAATTCTCCCAGACATGGATACAGGCCAATACAATCAAGGCAATTCTTCATCTTAAATTCCCTCTTCCCAGGTGCAGCCACCCTAGCCTAACTGGTGAGCCCCAGGTCTGAGAGAGAGAGAGAGAGAGAGAGAGAGAGAGAGAGAGAGAGAGAGAGATTGATTCTGTATATGCCTCTGGGTCTCAAGTTTCCCATGGAGGCAGTCTCCTTGAAACTCCCAGACAACAGTGATACTGCTCTGGTCCCCTCTGTACCCCTCACAGATACCCCGCTTAGGCCTTACTGGGGGAAGCCCCACCCTGTAGCACTTGTCTCCCAAAGAAGAGACCCATGTGACCTCCTTTGCTGACCTTGGGACCTGTGTGATCATCTTTGCTCCATGTTAGCTCATGACAAGAGCTTCCTCTGGGTCCTTGAATGTGCTGTCTTCCTGTCACTAGGCCAGCCTTTAAATGTTTCCTCTGTCTGTCTCCAGGCACAAGGCAAAGCCTCTGTTCTCCTTGAGGCTTGGCCTTAAACAGAGAAAAAGAACAAAGCTGTTAAATTCTGATTGAGGCTGAGGAGGTTAATTTTTTTGTGTTTTTGTTTTTCCTTCCTGGAGTTTCTCAATATTCTTAAGCCTCCTTGTGCCCTCTACGAGCCAGCTTCATCATAGTAACTGGAGAAAGAGAAAGACAGTCCCTAATTGCCTGAATCTAGTGACCCTAACTGGGAAGCACAGGGGCTTTGCACTTGTGCTTGGGAGAGGGGGAGAATTTAATTGACTTTGCATCCTCCCCCCAAGGCCCCATCTTTGCCCCTACGGAATGAAGATGTCAGGGTACCCTGCTACAGATTGCTGCTCTGCCTACCCTGAGCCATTGCTTCCACTCAAGAGGGGAAGTTTCCAAACCACTCTTTCCAAGAGTATGGTTCAGATTGGCTCTGGGAGTGCTTCCAAGTCATACTGTCTTCACAGAGCAATATATAATGAATGACAGGAGTCTCAAGAGTTAACTCTCCTCCTCCTCCTCTTCCTCCTCTTCCCCTCCTCCTCCTCCTCTTCCTCCTCTTCCCCCTCCTCCTTCTCTTCCTCAATCCCTGCTCCACCTACTCCAGTCCACCTCAGCACCTGCTTCTAAATTCCTATTCACCCCTCAGCCTAGCATCTCTCAGAGCTCAGCAGCCAGAGTGACAGGTCTGATTCTTTATCATCCCGGAGCTGTGTAGTTTTTGCTTTATGTTTTGACCTGCAGTCATTTTTTAGTTCATTTAGTACATATGGAGTGAGGTAGGGCTCTATAGTCACTCTTAGGTTTGGAAATGCCCAGTCGTCCCAGCACCATTTGCTGGAAAGACCATCATCTCCCTGTGGTATGTCTTGGTAGCTTTTTCAGAGATAAGCCTACCACAAATACGGCAGTTTACTTCAGAACTTTAAAAAAAAAGATATATTTTATTTATTATTTTTATTTCATGTGTTTGAGTGTATTGCCTACATGTATGTAAGTGCACCTGTGTTGTACAATGCCCACAGAGGTCAGAAGAGGGTGTTGGATCCCTGGAACTGGAGTTACTGACAATTGTTAGCAGTCATGTGGGTGCTGGGAACTGAACTCAGGTCCTCTGCAAGAGCAGTCAGGACTCTTAACCACTAAGCCATCTCTCTAGCCCCACTTCTGAACTTTGTGTGTGTGTGCGTGTGTGTGTGTCTGTGTGTGTGTCTGTGTGTGTGTGTCTGTGTGTGTGTGTGTGTTGCTAGGACTCAGAGCCAGGACCTTGTGCATGCTAGGTGAGCTGTATCCTCAGCCTTACTTCTGAATTTTCAGCGATGTCCCATTGATCTTCGTGTCTTCTTGCACCAGGACCTCACTACCTTGATAGCTGATTGGATTGACTGATGGATGGACAGATGGATGGATTTCAGTTTGGTTTTATGAGCTTGTGTCTCACTGTATAGCCCTAACATGCCTGGAACTCCCTATGTAGACCAGGCTGGCCCAGGATGTACAAAGATTCTCCTATTTCTGCTTCTTGGGTGCTGAGATTACCGATGTGCCACCATGCCTAGCACATAGTTGGGTTTTGTTGCATCTCTCTTTGAGATAGTTTTTTGTAGCTTAAGCTGAAGTCCATAGTCTGTAGTGTAGTGTGACAGACAGACACTATCAGAAGGCCAGCCAGCCTATGCTCAGCCTCCTAATATGTGTGTGGGGGGGAGGGGATCAGAAGGATCAAGGTCCCTTTGGGGTGAATGAAGGGCAGTTAGCAGGAACCACCTGTTATATTCTTAGGTCTTGGTCATCATTGGTGAGGAAGCCCTTCCTCACACTGTGTTTGCACACCAGCCCTTTGGAGCACCCTTTGAAGAATCCTGTGTGGGGCCAGCTCTGAAAAGACCAAGGGCCCAGTCAAAGCCACCCTGCTGGCAAGGGCAGGGCTAGAACTCAAGGTCAGGGTCTTGCCCAGCCTGCTTTTCAATTGTTTTTTTATCTATTATTAGGGGTATAGTTTGGGTGGGGCACATGAATGCCACCGTGCACATGTGGAAGTCAGGGGACAACTGTGGGAGTCAGTTCTCTCCTTCAATCTTGAGCTCCGGGGATTGAACTCAGGTCACCAGGCTTGTGTTACAAGTGCCTTCACCCACTGAGCCATCTTGCCTGTCTCAATTCTTGGTTCTCTTGGCCAGTAGCACAAATCAGATGGTTTCCAGTTTGGCCTGCTGAGGAAGACACCTGGCTTTGTCCCCTTGCAGAGTAGCTCTTGGCTCTACTAGGTGGGGTGATGCAGGAGGCAGAGATTCCTGGTGTGGCCACCAGAGGTGGGGGTTAGAGTCTGGAACTGTGGCCTGGATAAGCGTTTTGGACAGTTGAATAAGTGGCTGGAGGCTTACAGAAGAGATCCAGGCATCTTAAATCTTAAATTGTCATCAATATTGATTCTTGGCTCCCAGTAAGAGTATTGATTTAGTCGAAAGTGTATCATTTTGAGCGTAAAAGCTTTGGAGCCGGGCAGATCAGCTGTACTGTTGTCAGCTATGTGATGCCGGGCAAGTCTTCCAGGGTCCCTGATGTATCACATTCCTTCAAGTAAAATGGTGGTTTTATTGCCCACCTAAGGGCAAGTCCAAGAACCAAAAGCACTCAGATGCATTATTATTATTATTATTATTATTATTATTATTATTATTATTATTTTGGTCTTTTTGAGACAGGGTCTCCCTGCAGCCCCCGCTGGCCTGGAACTCACTATGTAGACCAGGCTGGCCTTGAACTCACAGAGATCTGCCTGTCTCTGCCTCCCGAGTGCTGGGATTAAAGGCGTGTGCCACCACGCCCAGCTATATTATTCTTTTTTTTTTAAGTGTAAAAAAAATATTGAGAATTTCATAATGCATATAAGGTATTTTGATGAAGTCCATGCCCACTCCCTCCTCTCCAGCTTCTCCTGTATCTCCCTATCACTTTTTCCTGATAACTTCATGTACTCTTTTTTTTTAAAATGGGGCTTTTTGCTACTCTAACATTCCCCCCTCTGAAGAGGTAACCCTAAAATCTTTTAGGGATTAGATAAGAGCTCCCAAATACTTTTGACATTTTTGGCCTTTGGAACAGAGTATGTTGCTAAGAGGTCCAAGGACATTTTGACTTTTAGCCAAGAACATGGCTACTTTTCTTTGGGGTCTTTTTACTCTTAACTGCCTAGCCAGTTCCTACCTCCTATTCTTATCTCGCCATCTTCTGAAGAGGTTACCCAAATTGCCGATAGGGAATCGACAGATGCATTATTATTCTTGCTTGAAATTTTTTATTTTGTTTTTGCAAGGTCTCACTACATATCACAGGCTGCGCTGGAAGCCCAGGGTGGCCTTGAACTCATGACAACTCTTCTGCCTCAGCTTCCCAAGGACTAGGACTAGGACTAGGACTAGGACTAGAAATGTGAGTACTACATCTGGATCCAGATGACAGTTGTTTTGTTTTGCTTGCCTTTTTTTTTTTTTTTCTTTTTGTCTTTTTGAGACAGGGTCTCCCTGTAGCCCCAGCTGGCTTGGAACTGGCTATATAGATCAGACTGGCCTCAAACTCACAGAGATCTGCCTGCTTCTGCCTCTTGAGTGCTGGGACTAAAGGAGTGCACTACCACGCCTGGCCATAGATGAGGTTTTTATATTTTATTTATTATTTTTATTTTATATGTACGAGCATATTGCTTGCATGTGTGTAAGTGCACCCATGTCATGCAATGCCTCGGAAGTCAGAAGAGGGCTTCAGATTCTCCTGGAACTGGAGTTAAGGATGGTTCGTAGCCACCATGTGGGTGCTGGGCATCGAACCCAGGTCCTCTGCAAAAGCAGTCAATGGTCTCAGCTGCTGAACCATCTCTCCAGCCCTTAGATGAGGTTTTTAAAAAAGATTTTTTTTTTTTGGTCTTTTTGAGACAGGGTCTCCCTGTAGCCCCAGCTGTCCTGGAACTCCCTATGTAGACCAGGCTGGCCTTGAACTCACAGAGATTTGCCTGCCTCTGCCTCCTAAGTGCTGGGATTAAAGGTGTGCACCACCCACGCCTGGCAAAAAAGATTTCTTTATTCTATTTTATGTGTATGAGTGTTTAGCCTGCATGTATGTAAGTATACCAGGTGTGTGCAATACCTACAGAGGTCAGCAGAGGGTGTCAGATCCCCTAGAACTGGAGTTACAGATGGTTGTCAGCCTCCATGTGGGTGCTGGGAACAGAAACTGGGTCCTCTGGAAGAGCAGCCAGTGCTCTTAACTGCTTAGTCATCTCTCCAGCCCTAATGAGTTTTTAAAATACAGAAGTGGCTTCTGGAAAGATGCCCTAGGATACTCCAACCCTGTAAACCAGATGGAGGACCTGGTCCTGCCCTCTGCTGGCACCTGAGGAGCCAGGCAGTGGCCAGGAGGGGCTCCTCAACCCACAGCTCCCTCTGTCCTGCAGTCGCCATCACCATGGAGATCGTTTATGTGTATGTGAAGAAGCGCAGTGAGTTTGGAAAGCAATGCAACTTCTCGGACCGCCAGGCTGAGCTGAGCATTGACATAGCTCCCAACCCGGAGCTGGCTGCGCTGTATGTGGAACGGAACCCAGTGGACACCGGCATCCAGTGCTCGGCTAGCATGTCAGAACACGAGGTAGGTCCCTGCCTTGATGACCCAGGTTCAGTGAGTGAGTAGGGTGGTTAACGGGGAAGGCAAGTAGGACTGGGTATCCTGTCCACCTGGAAGCTAAGTAGAATGGACATTTGCTGGTGCTGAAGTGTGTGGACAGAGTCACCCAAGACTCACCCCAGTGCTAGGATCAGAAACAAACAACACCAACATTTTCTGGGCCGGAACAAGGCATATGGAACCTGTGGCCCACATGTGGCTAAACAAAGCTGTGAATGTAGCCCAACACAAAGTGGGGAACTTACTGAAAGCATTATGAGATTCATTTTATGTGCATGACAGAGACTCATATATCCAAGCTTGACCTTGAACTTGTTATATGACCTTGAATGGCCTTGAACTTCGGTTTCTCCTGCCCCCATCTCCCAAGTCTGTTTTTTCTAAGTTGCATTGATGTATTTGGTGTGTGTCTGTGTTTGTGTGTGTGTGTGTGTGTGTGTGTGTGTGTGTGTGGCAGAGGTCAGAGAGCAACTTGGAGAGGGTTCTCTCCTACCACGTAGGTCCTGGGGATTAAACTCAGGTCCTCAGGCTTGGTGGCAGGCTCCTTTTCCTGCTGGGCCACCTTGCTGACTGTGTGCGTGCGTGCGTGCGCGTGTATGTGTGTGTGTGTGTGTGTGTGTGTGTGCGTGTGTGTGTGTGTGTGTGTGTGTGTGTGTGTGAGTTGATCATGACATATTCGAGTATGAACTTTGTGGAGGACAGCTGTCAGACTCAGGTACAATATCAAAAAGATTGGACATCGGGGCTGGAGCGATGGCTCAGTGGTTAAGAGGACTGACTGTTCTCTCAGAGGACCCAAGTTCGTGTCCTAGCACCCACATGGTGGCTAACAAACATCCATAACTCTAGTTCCAGGGGATCTGATGCCTTTTCTGACCTCCAATGGCATAACACTAGTGTACTTACATACATGCAAGCAATACACTCATACACATAAAAATAATTTTTAAAAAGATTGGACATGCCTAGAACCCAAATGTTCCTTCCAAATGATATGTCGAGGGCTATCAGGAAGGGGTTTGTTTTCTCTGCCAATTATAGAAAAGGCAGGAAAGAGGTGTTACCAGAAATCATGGTGAGTCCCAGCAGAGCCATCCTATGATACCTGGGAAATCAGGGTCCCCTCTTGGAGCTTCTAGTATCATTGATGCTACAATTTACTAGAGTTTAAAAGGAAAGCCCCAGGGCAGTATGGAAGGGAGGAGGAGGGTGGGGAAGAGAAGGAACATTAGCCTGAGATAAAGTATGGAGGTCTGCTAGCTGGGGCAGGCACAGGGTTGGGAGGGAGTAAGGAGGGCTGGGCAGGTGTGGTGGCGCACGCCTTTAGTCCCAGCACTCACAAAGGCAAAGGCAGGTGGATCTTTGCGTTTGAGGCCAGCCTGGTCTACATAGTGAGTTCTAGGCCAGCTGGGGCTACAGGGAGACCCTGTCTCAAAAACAAAAACAAAAAAGGCATGAAGAAGTCCAAAGCAGAAGTTAGGGTTTAAAAAGTACACTTAGGCTCTGGGAAAATCTGAAAGAAAAAGCCAGAAGAGAAGAAATGGACCCAGCTGAACCTCACGGTGGCTCAGCTAGTGGGTCTGCATTAGGTGGGAAGGAAAAGCACATTATCAACCCAGGGCTGGAGAGATGACCCAATGGTTAAGATCACTAGTTGCTCTTGCAGAGGACCCGGGTTTGGTTCCCAGCACCCACATTGCGGCTGACAACTGTCTGTAACTTCAGTTCCAGGGGATCTGATGCCCTCTTCTGACTTCTGTGGGCATTACACAACACAGGCACACTTACATACATGTAGTCAATACACTCTTTCCTAGGGGTGGCTCCCAACCATTGATTAACCCTTAAATGAGGGGACAGTGGCATGTTTCCACCTAGAGGGAGATTCCATTCTTTACAGGAGGGCTCTGACCTTCTGACCTGAGAAGCCTCTTAGGGTCATGATGGGCATTTGGCACTTTGGGGACAGGTATCAAGAAGGAATTTGAGAAAAGGGAAGTGTCTCACAGGAAGTTCCAGCAAGGGCTGATGGGAACTCCAAAATGCCCCAATAGCTCCCTGTCCACATGACCCAGGGCAACTGCTTAGACTGAGCTAGCCATTTTCATCATGCCCCACACCAACCAGTGAAAGTCTCATTTGATTTGGCCAAAACATGTTCCACAAACGTGTGGATGTGGGCAGCCCTGATGATTTGACTCTGTTTCCCAACCTCAGGGACCCGCATGACTGGGCCTGTGGTATAGCCACAAGCAAAGTGGTGGCCATGTTGGCCACACTACCCAGGCTTTCCAATCACAGCCCAGCCTGGCAAGCCATCTTACTTTGGTAGAACCGGCTTAAAATGGAAAGGAGATGGGAGCCACCATGTAATGGGGATAGGAATTCTTTTGTGAGAGATGATGAAAGGGCTTTGGAACTATGAAGAGTCAATGGCTACACTACACCTCGTGATAATGTTAACAAACTGAGGATGTAGCTCAATTGGTAGAGTGCTTGCCTAGCATGCATTGAGCCCTGGGTTCTGTCCCAAGTACTGCATAAAACCAAGTGTGGTGGCACATATCTGCAAGTGGAGGAAGTAGATGCAAGAGGATCAGATGTTCAAGGTAATCCTCGGCTCCATGGCAAGACTGGGCTACATGAGACCCTGTCTCACATGGATGGATCAATAGATAGACAGATGACTGATAGATAGATAGATAGATGATAGATAGATAGATAGATGATAGATAGATAGATGATAGATAGATAGATGATAGATAGATAGATAGATAGATGATAGATAGATAGATAGATGATAGATGATAGATAGATATGATAGATACCCCCCAAAACCCCAAATTTTTTCATATAGATAGATAGATAGATAGATAGATAGATAGAGGATAGATGATAGATGATTGATAGATAGCTAAATAGATAGATGTGGGGAAGGGATGGGAGGAAGCCAAAGACAAGTTTAGCAGGTAAAACTGTTCCATCTCTACCGAATGTACAAGGAAATTCCTTGCACTGAGTTCCTGTTGATGTTCCATCTCTGTATTGCTGTTTTGGGGGATGGAGGAGTATTCACTGTGCACGGTGGAATCTCATGGGACAGATGGGTGGGCTCCTGGACCTATTCCATTCAGGTAAGGACAGAACTGGGTTGGTCACAGTTGAGGTGGTACTGTCAAGGCCACCTGTAACTACCTGAGGACTGGGATCACATAGGTCCTTGCTTTGTGGCTTTGGTCAGGGCCCTACCCTACCCTTCCAGTCCTTCCCTGAGAGCTCAGGGTCCTGGGATCGAAGGATCCTGGTTTGGAGAAATGGCTGAATCTGTAGACCAGAAGCAGATGCCTTCACCATCTCACCTGTGGCTCTCTGTTTAGGCCAACACAGAGCGGTTCGAGATGGAGAACTGCGGGGTCAACCATGTCGAGGGGGGCTGGCCCAAGGATGTGAACCCCCTGGAGCTGGAGCAGACCATCCGCTTCCGGAAGAAGGTGGAGAAGGATGAAAACTACATCAGTACCATCGTGCAGCTGGGCTCGGTGAGGCCGCCTGCAGCTCCAGGGGTCTGACACCAGTTCCCCCAGGGTGTACCATGCCCTGGCTCTGCATGACCCAGTGTGGGCTCCAGTAGCTATTGAAAGTGGGGAAATGCCACTTCTGACCATTAAGCCCTATAGATGAACAGGTATTAGAAGTCTAAAATGTAGGAAGAGGGCTGGTGAGATGGTTCAGTGGATAAAGGTGCTTGCTGCCAAGCCTAACAATCCCCAGAAGCCATGGTGGAAGGAGAGAGCTGACTCCTGAAAACTGTTCTCTGATAGCCAACAGGTGCACAGTGGTGAGTGTGTGTCCACACTCACACATATACAGTAATAACAAATAAAATATAGGAAGCCTCTCAAGCAAAGAGTCCCCTAAAGAGCCCTACCAATCAGCTAATAGTGCTCGTTCATGCATTGAACTGCCAGGCACGGTAGAAGTTGCAAACTGAATCTCACATACATCCTGCCCCAAAGAGTTTGCAATTCACTCCAAGAGTCCAAAACAGATACAAAGACCTGACCAGATACACAGAGAGAAACACTGTCAGAGAAAGGGAAACTTGTTCATTTGTTGCATAGGAGGGAGGATCAGTCCTGCTGAAGGGATCAAAGAAGGCTTCCCTGGAGGAGAGCATTGGGCTTGGGCTGGACCCTGCTGAGCATCAGGAATAACAGGGATGACTGGGATAGAGGAACCAGTGTTCTGGTTGACAGGGAACAGGATGCCAGTACCATATATGAGCAGTGGTTAATAATCCTGTTCAGCTGGTATATGTGTGTGTGTGTGTTCCCTGCATATGTAAGTGCAGTTGTGCATGTAATGCCCACAGAGGCCAGAAGAAGGCATTGGATCACCTGGAACTGGAGTTATGGACAGTTGTTAGCTGCCATGTTGGGGCTGGGAACTAAACTCCAGTCCTCTGCAAGAGCAGCCAAAACTCTTAATCACCGAGTTATCTCTCCAGCTCCTTCCCCTTTTGAGACAGGATCTCACTAGCCCTGACTGGCCTGGAACTCACTATGTAGACTAGGCTAGTCTTGAACTCACAAAGATCCTCCTGCCTCTTCCTCCCAAGTGCTGGGACTAAAGGTATGTACCACTACACCCAGCCTGAGCCTCTTTTCTTTCCGTCTAGATTTTCCCTAGTCATCTCCTCCCACATGAAATTTTACTGCCAGAGGTGCCTTCTCCATCTGTTACACGCAGTGTATGCATCTGCACTTTGTCTAAAAAGATAGTGGGGGCTCTGTGATGCCATTGGAAGAGCTCCTTGTGTAAACATCACAGCATGTACTTTCACCAGTGGAGATGGCCCCGCTGTTGCTAGGCAGGAGACTTATGGGACCACCATCATCTATGTGGCCTGTCCTTCCTAGAAATGCTATGTGGGACATGTTGAGAATCAATTAACTCACTGGAGGTGATGCTGTCCCCACGGAACACACGTGACCTAAAGGATGGGCAGAGACTCATCACTGCCCTGCTCGGTCTGAAAGGCTCTGTCTTCTCTGCTGATAATTCTCAATGTCCCCCCAGATCATGGAGCACTGCATCAAACAGAACAACGCCATTGATATCTATGAGGAGTATTTCAATGACGAGGATGATGTGGAGGTGACTGAGGAGGCCCCGTCAGCGAAGACCATCAATGTCTTCAGGTAGCTCCAGAGGGAGGCAGGGGTCTGGATACCTGTCTCCTCCACAGGAGGGTGCTCCCAAAGAGGGAACTCCTTGCCTGTCAGTCTATGTAATAGGCGTTTCACTCTGTGCCCTGGGCTTGCAAAGCATCAGACTAAGAAGGTGCCCAGCAGGGCCCCCCGTTGTGGGGGTCTGTCTGGCAAACCTGGTGTGCAGGCTCCAGGAGGAAAACTGTAAGCAGTTTTCAAACTGTGAGCAGCTAGTCACTGTGGCCAAGGAAGTACCACGTGCCAGGCCTCGGAGCCAGCAGCACAGAGGGCACAGTGGCCACCCGCACTCAGGGAACTGGAACTGGCACTGAGCTTGAAGGAGGACAGCAGTTTACCAACAAGGACTTATCCATGTTGTGTGTACGAAGCAACTGTAACTCCTGGACATTGGCTGTGCAAGAGTGTACTGGTTCCAACAATCCTGATACAGCAATGTGATAGAACACCGCGTAGCTGGGAGGAAAATGTGTGGGGCTCGTTTCTGTACTGATTGTGTACAAGCACTGTTATATGACAAGCAGACCAAACCTGCAGGGTAATATGTGGATACTGTTGGGATTTTTTTTTTTTTTTGTCTTTTTGAGACAGGTTCTCTCTGTAGCCCCAGCTGTCCTGGAACTCACTATGTAGACCAGACTGGCCTCGCTTGAACTCACAAAGATCCGCCTGCCTCTGCCTCCCAAGTGCTGGAATTAAAGGCCTGCACCACCATGCCTGGCCTGCTGTTGTTTTAATTATTTTTTTCCTGTAGCCCTAGCTGGCCTGGAACTCACTGTGTAGACCAGGCTGGCCTCAATCTCACAGAGATTCACCTGCCTCTGCCTCCCAAGTGCTGGGATTAAAGGTGAGCACCACCATGCCTGGCGGTGTTTTTTTTTTTTTTTTTAAAACACATTTTTTATTTTGGTTATGTGTGTATGATGTGTGTGGGGGGTGCACACATGGATGTCAGAGGACAACTCTTTGGAGTTGGTTCCAGCAATCAGACTCAAATCATCAGGCTTTCATGGTGAGCCCTTTGCCTGTGGAGCCATCTCACTAGGCCCAGTGCTGCCTTTTGCTTAAATACACACACATATGTGCACACATGCATTCACTACGTTCACATATGCATGTGTGTTTATCTGTGTACATGTATATTTACATGCTTGATATGGAGAGAAGGCTATGATTTTAAACTTTGGGCCTTCAGAACTGAGGGGGGTGGGACATGGTGGCTCACGTCTTTAATCCCAGCACTCAGGAGGCAGAGGCAGGCGAATCTCTATGAGTTCGAAGCCAGCCTGGTCCACATAGTGAGTTCCAGGTCAGCTGGGGCTATAGGGAGACGCTGTCTCAAAAAGACCAAAAAAAGAAAGGAAGAAAGAAAGGGTCTTACTATGCAGCCCGTCTGGGTTGGAACTCACTATGTAGACCAGGCTAGCCTTGAACTCACAGAGATTCACCTGACTCTACCTCCTGACTGTTGAGATTAAAGGGGTGCACCACCACGCCTAGCCTTCTCTTTAAAAAAATATTTATTTTATGTGTATACATATGTGTGGCTATATGCATATAAGTGCAGTGCCTGCAGAGGCCAGAAGAGGGCGTCAGATCCCCTATAGCTGGAGTTACAGGTGAATGTGAGCTACCCAACATGAGTGCTGGAAACCAAACTCAAGTCCTCTAGAAGAGCAGAAAGTGCTCTTAATTGCTGAACCATCTTTCCAGTCCCTTCCGAAACAGCACCCCCTTATGGAGCCCCGACTAACCTGAAAGTCACTGTGTAACCCAGGATGACTTTGAACTCAAGATTCTCCTGTTTTAGCCTTGAGGGCAGGAATACAGGTGTGGTCACTGCACCTGGCAGGAAAGGACCCTTTTCTGACCCAGAGCTGACTGGTGATGGGCAGGGGCAGATGCTCTGTGTGCTGAACATGCCTCAAGGAAGCCCATGGCAACATCACAGTGTGGAAACTGGCTTCCCTCCCTTCCCTTCCTTTCCCTCCCCTCCCCTCCCCTCCCCTCCTTCCTCCATAGCCCTGACTGGCCTCAAACTCAGTTTGTAGCCAGCACTGGTCCTGAACTCCGGATCTTTTCAGGATCTTTCTGCCTCTCCCTTCCAAGTGCTAGGATTACAGGCTCTGTTTTATGTGGTGCTGGGGATCAAACCCAGGGCTTCATGCATGCTAGGCAAATAAATACTCTACCAACTGACTATATCCCAGATCTTTTTGTTGCTGTTTTTAGGGTTAGTGTTAGAATTAAGGTACAGGCTACTATGCCTGGCCAGACAGAAGTTTCTAGCTCATTTGGGCAAATACCAAGAAGTGAAGTGGTTAGATTCTTCATCCCTCTTTATTTTGATGGTCATGGAAGATCAGGCTCCTACTCAAAACTTTCAACAGGCAAATTGAAGCTGGGCATGGTGGCACTTAGTGTCCTGAAGCAGGAGGATTGCTGGCAGTTTGAGGCTAGCCTGGGCTCATAGCAAGTATCAAACCAGGCAGGGCTACATAGAAAGACACTGTCTTGCTGGGGGTGTGGCTCAGATGGTGGAGTGCTTGCCTAGCCCAGGGCTCAATCCACATAAAGTGGGCTGATGTCACACACCTGTAATCCTAGCACTAGGGAGATGGAGCAGAAGACTCAAAAGTCAAGGTCATCCTCAGCTACTTAGAGTTCAAGGTCAGCCTAGATTATGTGAGATCCTGTCTCTCACACACACACAAAGTGTTGAACTGGACTTTGGTGATTTGCTTTCCTGTTTTAATTCTTGTTATTACATTCTAGCTATAACTGTTGAGATTGGGTTGGTTTTCTGCTTATGGGAGTCTTGTCAAATTTGTTTCTTGTATCTGTTTCTTAAAGATTATTTATAGGGGTTGGGGATTTAGCTCAGTGGTAGAGTGCTTGACTAGGAAGCGCAAGGCCCTGAGTTTGGTCCTCAGCTCCGGGAAAAAAAAAAAAAAAAAAAAAGATTATGTGTATGAGGGTTTTCCCCTCAT